GGAAGTTTTCCTTCCATTTCTATTGTTTGGAACAGTTTCAAAAGAATAGGTATTAATTCTTCTTTAAATGTTTGGTAGAATTCGCCTGAGAAGCCATCTGGCCCTGGGCTTTTGTTGGTTGCGAGATTTTTGATGACTGCTTCAATTTCCTTGGTGGTTATGGGTCTGTTCAGGTCTTCTGTTTCTTCCTGGTTCAGTTTTGGTAGTTTATAGGTCTCTAGGAATGCATCCATTTCTTCTAGACTGTCTAATTTGCTGGCATATAGTTGCTCATAATATATTCTTATAATTGTTTGTATTTTTTTTGGTGTTGGTTGTGATCTCTCCTCTTTCATTCATGATTTTGTTGATTTGGGTCCTTTCTCTTTTCTTTTTGATAAGTCTGGCCAGGGGTTTATCAATCTTGTTAATTCTGTCAAAGAACCAGCTCCTAGTTTCATTGATCTGTTCTACTGTTCTTTTGGTTTCTAGTTCATTGATTTCTGCTCTGATCTTTATTATTTCTCTTCTCCTGCTGGGTTTAGGCTGTATTTGCTGTTCTTTCTCCAGCTCCTTTAGGTGTAGGGTTAGGTTGTGTATTTGAGACCTTTCTTGTTTCTTGAGAAAGGCTTGTATTGCTATATACTTTCCTATTAGGACAACCTTTGCTGCATCCCAAAGATTTTGAGCAGTTGTGTTTTCATTTTAATTTGTTTCCATGAATTTTTTTAATTCTTCTCTAATTTCCTGGTTGACCCATTCATTCTTCAGTAGGATGCTCTTTAGCCTCCATGTATTTAAGTTCCTTCCAACTTTTTTCTTGTGATTGAGTTCTAGTTTCAAAGCACTGTGGTCCGAAAATGTACCAGGAATGATCCCAGTCTTTTGGTACCAGTTGAGACCTGATTTGTGACCTAGGATGTGATCTATTCTGGAGAATATTCCATGGGCACTAGAGAAGAATGTGTATTCTGTTGCTTTGGGATGGAATGTTCTGAATATATCTGTGAAGTCCATTTGGTCCAGTGTGTCATTTAAAGCCTTTATTTCCTTGTTGATCTTTTGCTTAGATGATCTGTCCATTTCATGAGGGGGGTGTTAAAGTTCCCCACTATTATTGTATTGTTGTCAATGTGTTTCTTTGCTTTTGTTATTAATTGGCTTATATAGTTGGGTGCTCCCATGTTAGGGCCATAGGTATTTACAATTGTTAGATCTTGTTGGATAGACTGTTTAAGTAGGATGTAGTGTCCTTCCTCATCTCTTATTACAGTCTTTGGTTTAAAATCTAATTTGTCTGATATAAGGATTGCCACCCCAGCTTTCTTTAGGTGTCCATTAGCATGATAAATCGTTTTCCAGCATTGTCACTTTCAATCTGGAGATGCCTTTGGGTCTAAAATGAATCTCTTGCAGACAGGATATCAATGGGTCTTGTTTCTTTATCCAATCTGATAGCCTGTGTCTCTTGATTGGGGCATTAGCCCATTTACATTTGGAGTAACTATTGAAAGGTATGAATTTAGTGCCATTGTATTGCCTGTAAGGTGACTGTTACTGTATATTGTTTCTGTTCCTTTCTGGTCTGTGTTACTTTTAGGTTCTCTCTTTGCTTAGAGGACCCCTTTCAATATTTCTTGTAGGGCTGGTTTCGTGTTTGCAAATTCCTTTAGTTTTTGTTTGTCCTGGAAGCTTTTTATCTCTCCTTCTGTTTTCAATGACAGCCTAGCTGGATATAGTATTCTTGGCTGCATATTTTTCTTGTTTAGTGCTCTGAAGATATCATGCCAGTCCTTTCTGGCCTGCCAGGTTTCTGTGGATAGGTCTGCTGCCAATCTAATGTTTCTACAGTTGTAGGTTACAGACCTCTTGTCCCCAGCTGCTTTCAGGATTTTCTCTTATCTCTGAGACTTGTAAGTTTTACTCTTAGATGTTGGGATGTTGACCTATTTTTACTGATTTTCAGAGGGGTTCTCTGTGCCTCCTGGATTTTGATGCCTGTTTCCTTCCCCCAAATTAGGGAGGGTCTCTGCTGTAATTTGCTCCAGTATACCTTCTGCCCCTCTCTCTCTTTCTTCTTCTGGGATCCCAATTATTCTAATGTTGTTTTATCTTATGGTATTGCTTATCTCTCAAATTCTGCCCTTCGTGATCCAGTAGTTGTTTATCTCTCTTTTTCTCAGCTTCTTTATTCTCTATCACTTGGTCTTCTATATTACTAATTGTCTCTTCTGCCTCATTTAGCCTAGCAGTTAGAACCTCCATTTTTTATTGCACCTCATTAATAGCCTTTTTGATTTTGACTTGGTTAGTTTTAGTTCTTTTATTTCTCCAGAAAGGGATTCTCTAGTATCTTCCATGCTTTTTTCAAGTCCAGCTAGTATCTTTAAAATCGTCGTTCTGAACTCTAGTTCTGACATCTTACTAATGTCCATATTGATTAGGTCCCTGGCAGTCGGTACTGCCTCTTGTTCTTTTTGTTGAGGTGAGTTTTTCCATCTTGTCCCTTTGTCCAGAGAAGAGATGAATGAGAGAACAAAATGCTAACAGGGTAACAACGACCCCAGAAAAATATACACTACACAAATCAGAAGAGACCCGAAACCAGGGAGAAAAGAAAGGAAAAAAAAAATATGATCAGGCTGGTAAATAGAACAGAGCCACACTAGATTTCGGGTGTATTTTGGTCTGTTAGAAAAAACTGCCTCCCACAATTTTAAAGAAAGAAAAACATATATACAAAAATAAAGGTAAACATGATGAACGGATGGAATATGACTCTAAAGATGAAAATTAAAACAGATTTTAAAAGAATTGATAAGAAGTTGGTTGAAAAAATTTTTTAAAAAGCAGGGGGTGAGAATGTGACCAGGCGGGAGACTAGAACAGAGCCATACACTAGATTTACGGTATATTTTGGTCTGTTTGAAGAAACTGTATCCCAAAATTTTAAAGAAAGAAAAACATATATATATATATGCACACACATACATATATATATATACACACATACATATATAACTTATATACACACAAAAAATAAGGTTAAATACAATGAAAGGATAGAAATAACTGTAAAAATGAAAATTAAAAAAGATTTTAAAAAAGGAATTGATAAGATGTTGGCTGAAAAAGGGAAGAGGAAAATTTTTTAAAAAATAGAAAAAGAAAAAAATTTTAAAAATTAACTTTGAAAGACTAAAGAATCATGGGGGAAAAGCCATGAATTCTATGTGCACTATTCCCCTAGCGCTGGAGTTCTGCCATTCTTACTGATCGATAAACTTGATCTTGGCTGGCTGTTCTTGCTGATCTTCTGGGGGAGGGGCCTGCTGCCGTGTTTCCCAAATGTCTTTGCCAGAGGAGGAATTGTCCCGCCTTTGCCGGGTCCGGGCTAAGTAATCTGCTCGGGTTTGCTCTCTGTAGAAATTGTTCCCTGCAAGCTTTTGGTACAGCTTTGAAGGACATGAGTGAAAATGACGGCCTCCCAATCTCCACCCCGGAGGAGCTGAGAACTCGGGGCCCCGCTCCTCAGTGCGCCCCCAGAGAAAAGCAGTCAATCACTCCCGTCTCCCCGGTCTCCGGCCGCACTCCGTGCTCACCCGGCCTGTGACCGAGTGTTTCTGTCTCTGGCACCCGACCCCATGTGGAGTCTCCAAACCCAGCAGATCCCTGCAGTGCGCTCCCGCGCCGCTCCTCCCGGGGGAGGAAGGGGAGTCTCCCCGGATCTGCCAGTTGTTGGGTCCCTGCTGGAGCAGCAGTGACCTGACTGGGCCGCGGATCACGGTTTATGGCAACCCCGAGCTGAGAGCCCGCGCCTCGGCTCCGTCTCTGCAGCCGGCTTCCCCGCTCTGATACCTGGGAGCTCTGCTGCACTCAGGCACCCCCGGTTTTTCTGTGACCCCGAGAGTCCTGAGACCACACTGTCCCGCGAGGTTTCCACCCACCGCTTAGCCACTGGAGCGACGTCCCTCAGTGGAGGCGAATTCTAAAAGTTCCAATTTTGTGCTCCGCGGCTCTGTCACTTGCCAGATGCAGCCGACAGAGGTCCTTCCCCCGCCATCTATCCTCCCGAGTATCATCTTGGGTTCACTTCTCCGCACGTCCTACCTTCCAGAAAATGGTTGCCTTTCTGTTCAGAGAGTTGCTGCTTTTCTTTTCTTCGATCTCCTGTTGAGTTCGTAGGTGTTCAGAATGGTTTGATCCCTCTCTAGCCAAATTCCTGGGACCAAATGAAGTCCTGGTCTCCTACTCCTCCACCATCTTGCTCCTCCCTAAGAGGTGACTAGTTTTAAGGAGGAGATTGACATAATGTGAATTGCATTTTAGAAATAAAAAAGTCACCTTGGCTTCAGTGTGGAGTTGAAACTGGAAAGGGGAAGGCAAGCCTGGTCTCTCTGACAGGAGGCAACTGGCTACAGGTCTGGGCTCAAATGACAGGGACCTAGGCCATTGCATCCTGAGGATCCTAGAGCCCTGGGAACTGGAAGAGCTAGTCAAAGGCAAGAAGGGAAGTCAGGTGAACCAGCTGGCACCTGGGGACAGCAACATTTAAGGGAAGAACAGAGGAAAGTAACATCTGGGACATGGAAAAGCAGTAGTCGGAGCAGTGGGCAGAACCCAGGAGGGAGCAAGTGGGCAAAGGAGGTGAGAAAGACGGGGGCAGGAGTAGAAGAGCCGAGCAACATGCTGTAAGCACCTGACCTGCTCCTTGCTGGTGTTTTTGGGCCATCTTAGTCACTTGCCTTCACTCTGGGAGGTAAGTAAAGAGTGTGACAGGTGGTGGACCCAGAGCTCAGAGAGGCTCAGTAAGGTGTCCAGCATCCTACAGCCAGTACATGTTGTCCCTGGGGTGGGAAATGCAAACCCTGGGCCCTCTGCCCTCCTCCACGATCCTCTCATGACTCAAAGACCACTGTTTAAGAAATTTGGATTCTTCTGGAATTTCCTAAGAGGCCAGGCTCTCCTATAGCTATACAGAACAAAATATTGCCACGTATTTTCTTTCTCCATTGTATTAGCTCAACCAAATCCCAGGAGATGAAAACCCGATTTTTCTCCCTTCGGATGCAAAATATGACTGGCTTCTGGCCAAAATCTGGGTGCGCTCCAGTGACTTCCACATCCACCAGACCATCACCCACCTTCTGCGCACACACCTGGTATCTGAGGTTTTTGGCATTGCCCTGTACCGCCAGCTGCCCGCCGTGCACCCCATTTTCAAGGTACAGCAAGCTACCGCCTCAGCCGGTGGAGGAGGGCACTGGCATATGGGGGGCGGAGGGAGGGAGGCGGGGCACTGGCACCCCCACAGGGCTGGGTCCGGGAGTAGCCAGCAGAGAGGGGCCCTTGGAGAGATGCCCAGGGGCAGTACTACAGCTCTGAGCCTGTGGGTCCCTGAGGACATGAGGCCTGGGCCTGACATGGGCCCTGGCTGGCCTGGGAGCAGAGTTTGAAGAGGCAAACGAGGTCAGTGTGACCCTTGTCTGATCCCAGGCGCCACCATCACTGCCCTTCTCTCTTCCTGAATCCTCCTGGCACTGACCGCTGGGGTGATGCAGGCTCAAGACACCTCTCTCGGCCTGTTCCCCTATCTGTGCAGCGGGGAGCCAAGAGTACACCTGCCTCATAGGATTATTGGCAGAACCCAGTTAACAAATGCAGAGAGTTGAAAACAGTACCTAGCACATAGTTCAGCTCTATGCAAGTGCTGCCTATTATCATCTTCATCTTCACATCACTAAGCGTCGAAGCTGCGGTCCCCAGGCCCCAGCAGCTCCCCTGACCTGCACTTCCTCCCTCAGCGCTCGCATCACCCCTCCTCAGTGGACTGGGGTGCGGGGCGCTGGGGGTCTCTGGGGGCACGTGGGGGGGGGGTGGAGACCTGGTCGGGAGGCCCAGCCAGGCCTTCTTTGAGGCCTTCTCCTGCTTCCCCCTCACACAGCTTCTGGTGGCACACGTGCGGTTCACGATCGCCATCAACACCAAGGCCCGCGAGCAGCTCATCTGCGAGTACGGCCTCTTTGACAAGGTGGGCACCTCCCATCCAGCTCTGTGCAGGGCCCCACTGCTCCAAACCTCCACCCCCCAGGCCAGGTGTCCTCTCAGGAGCAAGGCCCCTAGGCACTAGGGTGGCGGGTGCGTGCCTGGGACGGGTGGGAGGCTGGAGGCGCTCGGACTGGAGGCTCCCCAGGTCCTCTGGCCAAGCTCTGGCCCCTTCCCCACCCGTGACCCCGCCCCTCCCGAGTGCACTGCCTGCTTCTCAGCACTTCTTCGCGGGGCCTGTGTTGCCCTGTAGCCTCGTCCTGCTCTTTCCCCATCCTCTGGCCTGTGGCTGTAGATCTCACGCAGCACCACCTCCCGCCCTCGGCGCTCCTGGGCCAATGCTCCCACCCCGCCCTCCCCTCAGCTGGGCCTAAGCCCTACCTGTCCCTCACGTTCTCTCAGGCAGCACCTTGCCCATTCCGACCCCCTGCGGCCTTACCAAGCCTGGACCCTCCCAGCGGCCCTCTACCCACCCTTCTTCCTCTCCCACCTCCCCTTAGTGAGGCAGCCAGCTCATCAGTGAGGCTGAGCCCCCATTTGGGTTGCAAATGACAAAACCCAAGTCAAACCGGCTGAAGCTGGAAAAGAAGTGTATTATCTCAAAACCCTGGACATAATAGAGGGGGCTCCCAACTCCTCCCAAAATGGACCCAGGGGCTCAAATAATGGTCCCAGGGGACAGAGACACTGGCTGGCACTCCTCCACTCTTTAAACTGTGTGGGCCCCATTGTCCCAGTCAGGCTCTGCAGACAGGCTCTCCCCTGTGGGAGGGGCACTGGGTCCTCATCACAGGGAGCTCCAGGTTCGTGTTCCCACACGGTGGCCGTCCACTCCCATCCAAGTAGAAAGTCCAGGGAGCAGCTCCCATCACTCCCGCTTGGGTCAAACGGCCCTGTGGACCGATGTGTGGCACCCCAGTACCCAAGTCCTCCTTTAAAGGTTCTGTAGTGGCCTGACTGCTCAGCCACCATGTGTGCTGGGATGAGGACCAGGATCCCTCCTTGTGCATCTCTCCAGCTCTCACCTAAGCAAACACAGCCCTCCAAAGAGTTGTGTGTGTGGTCCTGGGGGCTGGTATCCGCCCCTTTCTTGAGCCCAAAACTCAGGTGACCGAGAGCAGTGCTGGCGCTCCAGGCAGCCTGGGCTCAGAACAAGCGCCCACCCTCCTGCCACCGCCCCCAGTCCCTGCACACACACCCTCCGCTGCAATCCCCTGCATTATTAGATCGGGCCTCTCTGACCTCCTCACTGGGCTGCCCTGGGTATTCTCAGAATTAAGCATCCCTCCTACTCCACCTCCTAAACCCCCGGGACATGGGCTTGCCCATCCGCAAGCCCGGCCCCCCGCAGTGTCCTTTCACAATTTCTCATGGTGAGCTCTGGGTGAGAAGGCTGGCGAGCGGTGGCCAGCCTCAGCTCACGGTGCTCTCTCCCCCCCCACTCAAGGCCAACGCCACAGGGGGCGGTGGGCACGTGCAGATGGTGCAGAGGGCCATGCAGGACCTGACCTACACCTCCCTGTGCTTCCCTGAAGCCATCAAAGCTCGGGGAATGGACAGCACAGAGGACATTCCCCACTACTTCTACCGGGACGACGGGCTCCTGGTGTGGGAGGCCATCAAGACGTGAGTGCCCGCTGGGGTCGTGGGACCTGCTCTGTGCAGAATGAGAAGAGCTCCTGGAGGAGGAGAGGACCAGGATATTGACAGGCTGGGCCAGGGGCCTGGACCACTGACTCAGTGGGCCACAGCATGGCTCCATTGTCAGGGCCCAGAGAGAGAGAGGAAGGTATGTGGGTGGGAGTGGGGGTGAATGACCCGAGTCTGGACATTAAGGAGTAAGTCACAGGGTCACCACTGGAGCTCTGCCCTGGAGCCCAGGGGCCCGGCTCTGCAAACCCTGGCCAGGTCACCCGCTCCTAGCTGGGCCCCTCCTCCTGAGCCAGGTTCACGGCCGAGGTGGTAGGCATCTACTACAAGAGTGACCAGGTGGTGGTAGAGGACCAGGAGCTGCAGGACTTCGTGAAGGATGTGTATGTGTACGGCATGCGGGGCAAGAAGACCTCAGGTACAGACCCCCTCCGGCTCTCCTCCTGGCCGTCTCTTCTGCTCTTCCCTGCACCTCTGACTTTCCTGGGACAGCGCTGGCCCATGGCGTCTACCTTAGTGCCTGGTGCTGGGGCCAGAGCCCCCAGGGGATCCCTGCTCACCAGTATGTCTCATGGGAACACCTCAGGGACTTTCTGCAGCCACTGAGAACCAGGGTCAGAAACATCAGGAACACTGGGCCAAGCTGCTGTCCCCTCCTAGTGTCTTACACATGCCTCGGCCGCCCAAGCCCTTGTGTGGGGGAACTCAGGGACTGGGGGGAGGGTCAGAGGGAGGGTGCCTGTGGGTCATCGGTCCACTGCGCCCCCCCACCTCCAGGGTCAGGGCCTCAGCCAGTCCCTGGCTCTGCCCTAGGTTTCCCCAAGTCCATCAAGACCAGAGAGAAGCTGTCGGAGTACCTAACGGTAGTGATCTTCACAGCCTCAGCCCAGCATGCAGCGGTGAACTTTGGCCAGGTGGGCAAAGGCAGGGTGGGTCCTCTGGGCAGGAAATCGCCATAGTCACCTTGACTGCTGCTTATGGGCCCAGACAGTGCCACCCCTCTTTCTAGTCTTCTGGGGCTGGTCTCAGGCAGCCTCGGGGCCAGAAACTGGGTGTTCCCTGAGTGTATTTTGCTCGCTAAGCCGAGGGCACCAGCCAGAGAGGGGGCCTGTGGACCGGCCCTGCTGGAGCAGGAGGTGATGGGAAGGAGGGTGGGAGGCATCGGGGCGGGTGCTCGGTCTGTGGGGCAGGTACGGGCATGGCCTGCTGCGGGTGGGTGGCAGCTGGCTGAGGAGGTGCCCACCCATGCCTGTGGCTGTCCCTGCAGTATGACTGGTGCTCCTGGATCCCCAATGCCCCCCCCAACCATGCGGGCCCCCCCACCAACAGCCAAGGGTGTGGTCACCATCGAGCAGATCGTGGATACGCTGCCAGACCGTGGCCGCTCCTGCTGGCATCTGGGCGCAGTGTGGGCACTAAGCCAGTTCCAAGAAAATGAGGTGAGCAGGGGAGACATTCTGCCCCCTCTAGGGGGGCAGGTCACCTGGATTTAACCCATTCTTCCATCTCAGGACTTTGTGATTAAGGGCTTAGGTTGGACACCTGCTCTCCGGGAATCCTGACTTCTGATGCTGGGGGTGCCCAGGAGGTCCCAGGCCTGTGCCTGGATGGAGCTCGGGGTGAGGGGGGGGGCGGACAGGAGAGCACAGGGACTCTGCACCACCAGTGACTACCTAATGAACCTAATGTCAAAGCTGGGTATCTCAGTATCTCAGGCACAACACCATGGCATTAGCTCAGTGTCACACAGAATGAATACCAGTTCAGCCAGCCCCAGACTTGTGGGCATTTTAGGGGGCACTGAGGTTGCTCTGGGGACTCTGCTAATGTGTGGGCCCCTCACTAACATCTTTGTATATGTGTCTTTGCACATGTGTTCAGTAGGGCCAGATGACATGCTCCTAGTAGAGGAATTTCTGGGTCAGAGAATGTTGAGACTGATCTGTCCTCCACAAACTAATCCCAAATCCCACCCTTTCCAGCCCTGGGTATGAAACCTGCCAATTTTAACAATCCAATAATTTTTAAAAAGATAGATCTAGTTTTAACTTGCAGACATCTGTGTGAGTGTGGCCGTGGCTGTCCCGGGCTGGGGAGGCTAGCGCTGGCCCCCGGAGCCCAGACGGGAAGGCAGGAGTGCAGCAGAGGACAGGGCCCAGTGGGACCCCCTTCACCTGCACCATCACACGCGGCAGGGCAGCTATTGCCCCCATTTATCTGAGGCCCCAGACGAGGGGCATTCTTGGGGTCTTCTCAGCAGGGGGTGGAAAGGGGGAAATGAGCACATGCTCCCTCGCTCACTTCCCAAGGGATGGTCTCGGGGGGTGAGACAGGCCTGTCAGTTTACATCACCTCGGCAAAGATTAACCTGTCCGTCTGTGTCCGGGCCCTTAGCTATTCCTGGGCATGTACCCAGAAGAGCATTTCATCGAGAAGCCTGTAAAAGAGGCCATGGCCCGATTCCGCAAGAACCTTGACACCATCGTCAGCGTGATTGCTGAGCGCAACAAGAACAAGAAGCTGCCATATTACTACTTGTCCCCAGACCGGATTCCCAACAGCGTGGCCATCTAAGTCGCCACCTGAGCCAAGTCTCACGTGCACACAGTCAGCTGCTCGCGGGCAGGCTCAGCACCCAGACTCCAGGCTGCCCAGGCGGATTGGCTCACAGGGGCCCCAGGGCAGGACCTCCTGGCAGCTTGCTCTCCTGAGGCTGCTTCGGTTCCTCAGGCCCCAGGCTGACTGGCTTCAAACCAAAGGCTGCCCAGGTTGGGCTATGTTATGCCTCAGCTTCAGTGCATTTTCCAGTCTGTTCCTCAATCTTTAGTGAATCCCATACTTTGATCCAAGTGGGTACACTGCAGGGACCCATCCTACACAGAGCAGGACGATGTTGCTTCCTGCCCCATGCCTCGCTCAGTGCTTCCACACCGGGCAGGAACAAGAAGTCAGGACAACTGATAGATGTTTGTTCTTGTTGAGAGGCATGGAATGATTATTTTCTGTTTATGCTTCATCTAATTTCTTGCACATAGTAAGTGCCCAAATAAATCCTTGTGGAATGAATGAATTGGTTGTCATAAAAATAAAGGAGTGCATTTAGAACAAGTCTCCATCCATGTGTTATGTTCCCATCACCCCAAACAGCTCACATCCCCCCTCCCCACAAAAGCTACACACACACACACACACACACACACACACTAGATAGAGGTGGTTTTCCCTCTTTGTTGCTCAGAAAGCTACTTTATCTTCAGAACACATCCCAAGTACCGTCCACCCTGGGGAGGCATCTTTGATTGTCATCTCTCCCACCCGCTCCCCCTCCCCGGGCTTTGTCCAAACCTCCGTTACCTTCCCACATGGTCTCTCCCTTAGACCCAGAGCCCCTGCAGGACAGGAACTCACCTTACTTGTGTGCCCAGGGCTGGCACAAGGCATTAGCCTGCTGCTCCCTCATTTTCCTCCTGCAAAGCACCTGACAGGTTCTAAGCACTATCCTGGGAGCTGCGGGCTGTTTTCTCCAACAAGAGAGGACTTAAAATGACTTTTAAAATGCATTTCTTTCCCCACACCCAAGAAGCAGAGCCAGTCCTGAGCTTTGGGCATGGCGATCCATTGTGTCCTCCTACACACCTACCTAACCTATACCCCTAGCCCCTGGCTTCAGAATCGGATCAGCAGGGTCTCCAGAATTTCTGGAAGGTGCACCCAGTGTGCCAGGCCAGAATCTCAGTGTCTAAGTAAAAGGCTTCTGCTAGGGCCAATACAGCATGGGAGAAGGCACGCAGGAGAAGGCTCCTGAAACCAAAAGCCCCTCTGAGGAGACTTGACCATTGGGACAGGTACCAGAGAGAGCGAGGCCTGGACACTTACTGGCCCAGACTCCCGACCCTCCCTCTGAGAACTGCCCACACTTATAAGTGACCGTGGTGGTGGACTCCATAATCCTACGGTCATGGTAAAGGCACTCACGCAGTTCTGTGTCCCTCTGAGGGCCAATGTACCAACCTTTAGAGCCTGCAAGGCCTTGTGAGCAAAGGCAGGAAGAGGAGCAGGTAGCAATGATGATGCAGGTCTGATCCTGTGGCTGCAAGCAGAGAGGGAAGGAAGGTCTGGGTAGAACAGACTCCAGACTGCAGGGCACCTCTAAGAAAGCCTCACTCAGCTAATGTGGAGTCCTCAAACAGAAGTGGCCCATTATAGGTATGAAAATGAAACAAAGAAATTTTCAGGTAAAATAAAATGAAGAGAATCTCCTGCCAGCAGATCTATACTACAAGAAATGCTCCCATGGAAACTCAGACCCTCAGGAAGGAGAGGAGAGTATCAGATATGGTAAATATTTGGTAAATGTAAGAGACTTTCTCCCCTCCTCCTTCCTTTAAAATATGATTATTTAAAGCAAATATTATAACACTATCATGTGGCATTTATAATACATGTAAGCATAATATAAAGATAGCATAAAAGACAATGGGTGTTAATGGACTATTTCAGGCACATGGTTTCTACATCTTATATCAAGTGGTACAATATTCTTTGTAGTTTGTGAAATTTTAGGTAGGTAGATTATAACCTCTAGAGCAACCACTAAAATAATGTAAAGAAGTATAGTTAAAAACCAAGAGAGGACTTAAAATGGAATTCTAAAAACATATAAATAAAAGCAAAAAAAAAAAAGAACAGAAAAACAGAGAAGACAAATCAAATAAAATGGTAGACATAGAACCAACCATATCAGTAATTACATCAAATGTTTACAAGGACTAAAAACTCCAGCTAAAAGGCAGAGATGATCCGAATAATTTAAAAAATCAGTACCCAAGCACTTTGCAACACAAAAGATATATACTTCAAATCCATAGCAGTGTCGAGCATTTTTTCCTATAAAATATTTTAGGTTTGGTAGGCCACATATAATCTGCTGCATTTTTTAAAACAACCCTTTAAAACTGTAAAACACAGGGTACCTGAGTGGCTCAGTCAGTTGAGCATCCGACTCTTGGTTTTGGCTCAGGTCATGATCTCAGGGTTGTGAGACTGAGCCCCACATTAGGCTCCATGCTCAGTGTGAAGTCTGCTTGAAATTCTCTCCCTCTCTCTCCTTCTCCCCACTCTCTCTTCTCTCTCTCAAATAAATAAAATATTTTAAAAACCAAATTAATTAAATAACATAAATTTTTAAACACATTCCTAGCTCAAGAGCCTTACAAAAATAGGCACAGGCTGGATTTGGCCAGTGGGCTATAGTTTGTTAGCCCTGGTATAAAAAGATAAGAAGATTTGTGAATAGCAGATAAGCATGTGACAAGGGGCACATGAAAAGATGCTCAACATCATTGGTCATTGGGAAAATGCAAATTAAAACCACAAATGCAAATTAAAACCAAATTACAATTACACATCTATGAGAAAAGCTAAAATTCTGTATTTTAGGTTAGTGACTGACACCACCAAACGTTGCAAGGGTTTGAAGTAAATGGAAGCTTCACACCTTGTTGGCGGGGATGTAAAATGGTACACCTGCCTTGGGAAAATGTTTGTTTAGTTTCTTATAAAACTAAAGTTTACATCACTACCCTCTGAACCAGCGTTTTATGCTTAGGTATTTACCCAAGAGAAATGAAAATGTGTCCACAAAAATAATCTTAACAGTTCTATTCATAACGGCCAAAAACTGGAAAGAGCTCAAGTCTCCAACCATAAGAAAATGAAGAGACTGGTATATTTAGAAAGTGGAATATTATTCAACACAAAACAGGAATGTGTGGATAAAGGAGCAGAGACGAAACTCAAAAACACTGTGCTGACTTAAAGAACCCTTACACAAGAGGGCAAACTGCATGACTCCACCAAAATTAAGCTCCAGGACAAGTTAAAACAAAAAATCAGAAAAACGATTTTGTTTCGGAGGGTATGGGGACAGGGATGCACTGGAAAGGGGCAAAAGGATTTTCAGGATTGAGATAATGTTCTGCATTTTGATACAGAACATCTGGTTTGGGGTTACACAGGTGTATACATCTGCCAAAACTCATCAAATGGTACACTTAAGATTTGTACATTTCACTGTATGTAAATTTTTCCTAAGAACAAAAAGAACCATAAATGTTGAATTGTAGCTAATAATATACAAACTGGAGTGGGGTAAAGTGTATACTTCTCGTTGCAATTTACTCTGAAAGACAATAAAGAAGCAAGGTGATGTAAGGATAGTGTAATGAATAGATGGAGATATGTGGTGATGTATATATAGCAAAACGTTCATTGTAGAATCTAGGGTAAATGACTTCTCACTTATGCAATTATTTAAAATTTTTCATAAAATGGTGAAAAAAACGAACAGCACTTATTTGCCAGTTACATCAAACCAGAGTTAATGTTCTTTCACCATAAAAAGTGACGATGATTTAATGTAAAATATACCAAAAAACCCAAGAGAAATGGCCAAGGCATGGACATTCACATATGCAGACATGCAGAGTAAACAAAAGATGCTCACTCTCATTTACCCAAGAATGCAAAGTAAAACATCAGTGTGATAAGAGGGAATGACAATCACTTTAGTAACAATTTAAAAAACACCTACATGATACAATGTAAGGAAAGAGACTCAAATTCTCATAAGTGAATCATTTTGGAGGGTGCTTTTGCAACTTAAAAGTTAAATGCCTTTACCCCTTTCTCCAGTTCTAGGAATTTATCTTCAGAACTGCCCCCCACACACACACGTGTACAAAGATAAATGTCATGGATGTGACATTTCTAATATCAAAAATCAAGTAAGCAACCTAAAGATCAGTATCAGTATCCAGCTTTTAGGTGAAAAAAGCAAGATGTGAGGGAGCGTGCCCTGTGACTGCAGTAAGCAACATGCATTTCCCATAGATTTCAGACACGTGAAGAGTATGTGATGCCTTTACTGCATGACTATGGCCCAGAATCCCTGCCTTCCAGGGACCCAGTGCTGGGTTCCTGCTGAAGGCCTTTCCCTGGGGAAGGGGCTGTTTGTTCTGCCTTTTTTTTTTTTTTTAAACCATGCTGACCGCTTTGCTTATTGTATGCCTGCCCCTCCCCTCGGAATGTCTAATCAAACATTTCATCTTTTCTGGTCATCTGGTCATCTAGATAGTTCTACTACAGCACCCGGGCTCATTCTCCTCCCACCAGCCTAACACCCCAGGTAATGAGCAGCATGTCAATATGTCAATGAATGGGGCTGTAAGTTTGTTAAGTGTACTTACAGAACAGGAGGCTGGCCTTGAGGAGTTTGCCCTGACGGAGGACTGAAGTGTGCCATGGTGCAGCCCTCACCCCATCACTTTGTGGCTGGTGTTAAAGGGCAGAAAGGCTTGGGGAAAGCATGCTCAAGCCTGTGTGCAACCAAGACCCCACTACGCATCTTTTCGGCCAAACTCATCAAATACGGTGGATCCCCAAAGCAGAGAGGCTCCCCTTGGGCAGAACCCCTCACCTCACCTCACTGAAGCGGATTCCTTTCAGCTACACCCTCCTCAGCCCTCCAACCGTAGTCAAGCACCTGAGCACTCTCTCCCTTGCACGGGCACATACCTGTTCAGCTCTTCTGTGGTCCATCCTCCGCCAGAGGCCTCAACAGCTCCCAAAGTCAGGCAAGGACACTTGTCAAAGTATCCTCCCACTGAGCTCCAAAGCCTCCTGGCAGCTACTCTGGTACCTGGGCTCACCTAGGGGACAGTATGTACAGGGCAATCCTGGCCTGTTTTCACCTTATGCACCCAGGTAAAGGCAGGTGCCTGCCCTCAGCACACACAGCCCTGTGAACTGTTTGCAGGCTCAAGAGACAGAAGGCTCCGCGACACTACCATGACAGGGAGGCTGCATCAGAAGCCAGGAGATACAGCCAGCCTGAGCTATCACCAGAGATCCTGCTGGTCCTCCCTGGTTCTCCTACTCAGCTAGGCCATGGCTCAGTGTTTCAATACATAAGGCGAGTTAGGCAATAATCAACTGCTCCACGGTCACATCACCATACATACCCTGAACTTGAATCTGTCTTCTCGCAGGGCACGGAGTCCAAGTAGAGCCTGGATGTTTGAAGCAAGCACACCTGTGTGAGCTACTTCCATATTCACTCCCAAGCCTGCACACTCTCCTGAACCCAACCCCCTCAACCAACCACCAGTGTCGGGGGGGTGGGGGGACCTTCCCTGCCTGCAGGGACAGGCCGAGGAAAACAGCTACCTCCGGAGGTTGCATGATTTTCTTCCCCAACGTTCAAGGCAGAGGATGGTGAAAAGGGGAGCAGAACCACTGGAATGCCTGCCAATGTTCCCAGCCTTCTTGCAGGAAAACACTTTCAGGGCAAAATCCCCTTTTAAAGAGATGCTTTATTGCTGCAATTAGACACCCCGTGTATAACACAAACAACCCCCCCCCCCGGAGAATGATTCAAGTGGTAATACTGAGAAAGTGAACATACACAAAAGGATACAAAACCAGACATTTAGATAACCAGAAACTCTGCAAGTTAAGAAAATCTTCAAATGTGAAGTGCCTTTTAGAAACTACGTCACACATGCCAGTGTAAATTTGGTTTTTATTAACAATCAGCTTTCTATAAACACTGCATCTAAATAGGTGAAGAGCTGCACAACTTAATTACGTCCAAAACAAAGATAAATGCTTTTATTTCCCTATGTTTCGGTCTTTCCTTGGGCTGGAGAGGGAAGCTGCATATTTCAAATCAGATTCAAAAGGGAAAGTACTCAAGAAGTGTCTCTGCATCAGGCCAAACGCACAGCATTGCGGCCCTCAGCCCTGCCGTTCCCAGGCCGCCTCCAGCAGCCACCCCACCGGGCAGCGGACGTAGCCCCAGCCATGCCGGCCCCACCTACGGCTCCAGGACTGGCCCACTGCCTGTGGCCTGTGTCTGCAACCAGGCAGGGCATGCCAGCAAGGTTGAGAACTAGACCCAGGAGACTGAAAAGAGTGGAATGAGGCAGAAAAGGAGGAGATGGTAGAGGTCCGGAGCACAGCTTGATAGTTTCCAGGTTTCTTAGTATCAACTCAGGCACAAAAACCAAATTCCTGCTGGCAGCCAAAGTCAGAAGCGCTCGAGCCAAACGAACTTTTGAGGGAATAGAGGCCAAATGAGAGAGGGCTGGCTGGCAACGGCCCTGAGGCCACTTCCCTCCCGCCTGGCCTGGTCCCCAAGTACCAGCCCTCTGGGCCCTGAGACCCACCAGCAGCTCATCCCACATTTCTGGTTCAGCCAAGTGTTGTCCTCCACCAAAGCCACGTGCAGAATGAGGGGGAAACGGGAATAAATGTCCCCCCCAAAAAAACTAGAAGGCAAGCTGCTGCGGCCTAAAGGAACCCCTGGCAGACCCGCAGCCCCCACTAGATGGCAGCACAGTACCACCTTTCCAGGGCTTCTGGCTTCCCGGTCCGTCTCTGGGGGGTAGAGATTACAGCCGGGACTAGGGATGGAGTCAGAGGTGCTCAACTAGAACCTATGAGAAAAGAGAAAGGCAAGGGGGCATCTGTGTGCCATCCCAGGAGAGGAAAGAAGGATGTGGGATGGACTGTCCCCAGGCAAAAGGCTTTTTTTTAGGAGCTTGGTGGAGGTGATGAGATGGTGTTAGGCCTTCCTGAAAAGAAGGGAGGGTTTCACAGGAGAGCAACACAGCAGTCATGGTTATAAAGGCACCTTTGCCATAGGGGGTACCAGCCATGAGAGGTGGGCTGCCCAGAGGCTATCCCTACCTAAGCACACTTTCCTCTCTACAGAAGTCTCAGTGACTTTCAAGTTCAGTGTAAGGGGTTCCATCAGGGAGAGGGAAGGAATCCCACTTAAAAATCGATCCCAGTCTTCACACGACTACTCATCTGCTGTAAGAGGGCAGGCACAAGGGGTCTTGCCTGGGCAGCTCCTAAGGGACACAGGCAGGGCTGGCCCAGGTCTCGGCTCCCCTGAGTAGACAGCGTAGCTGCCTGGCATCCGCAGGCTGAGAAAGGGTGTGGGTAATTGCACTTTGGGGCACAGTGAACACAGGCACGGACTGGATGCGGCCTGGGAGACGGAGAGAGAGAGCAGGCTGACCTATTTTCAGGGGCTGGCCATGGCTGGACAGCGTCTGCCCAGCCAGAGGAAGGCCACGGTAGGGTGCGGCAGCTCCTCAGACCAGAGTCTGTGATGCCGACGAATCAGACACCGCATGGGAAGAGACGGCAGGGCAAAGCCTGCTACCACGCGCCCTCCCCCAGAGCTCAGACACGCTTCAGCCTCCTCCTGGCTTTCCAAACAAACCAGAGCACTTCTACTCTGAAAGGCAAAGGGATCGTCTTGTGTTTGCTTCATCCTCTTAACAAGACAGGCAAGGCACCTAAGGCTCAGGGGACTGAGGGCAGGACCCCCAGGCATCCTTCCCCTTAGAGGAGGCTCTACAGATGCAGAGTCACCTGGAGAGTAAGTACCTGGGCACACTCCTGTGACACTGCGGACCCTCCTGACCTATTTTCCTGGAGTTAACTCCTATTTACCCGGCAAAGTAAAACCCATTTTTAAAAATAGAATTTTAAGCAGACTTTAAAGGGACAAAGGCCATTTGATGGTAGGGATTTTGGTTTTGTCTTATGAAAATGGTACAGGAGATAATCCCTGATGATAGAACGAACTGACCACAAGGATCCTCTCTGTCCAGTCCAGTTAAGGCGATACATGGGTAGAGGCGGGGCTGGGGGCAGTGACCGTGGGCCCTGGCAGTTGGCTGCTCACTCCTGGCCTTTGTCCCAGGGCCAGCCCGTCTGTCTCTCTGCCCGGGCCAGTGACCCACAGGACCTCCCCAGGATCAGAGGCCGTGCAAGGTGGCAGGCACCCAAGAGCACCCCTGGTTCCCGAGCCCCAGACCAGGGCGGCACACACTTACGCTTTTGGTGAAGCCAGCACAAACTGGAGAGCTTTGTCTGGAAAGAAGTCATTTTAAATATTCATTTTTGTTCTAATTACTCACTTCCTTCCTTTCATTTAGATCTCACACAACCTTCTTTTTCAGTGTTGTCCAAAAAGAAATGTTTGGGGCAGGCCCATGACATAAAGACTTGTCATAAAATAGGCTTGAAACCACAGGAATTGGGCTCAAATTGCCATCTGGCATCCATTCATTTCCATGAAATGTTAGGAAAAAGCCTCAGATCTGTTTGTCCTGCTTTAGACCCACAAGTCCCTCTGATGCACACAGAGCAGATGTCAGGTTTCTTAGAATATATAAGGCAAAAAGGGTTTTAGATCTATTATAACGTAAAAGAGATCATGAAAGGAAGGATTCTAAATGAGACGTTCTTTTAAATGTCCATCCCACTGGACACACATATTACAAAATAAAGATTCTCTCTTTGTAAAGTGCTGTTTGCTTAGTGAATCCCTCGCCACCACGCACAGAGCACCACAGCCCCATCTGCTCTGGAAAACGGCCAGCAGCAGTGTCGGCAGAGGGGGCTCAGCTCCCGGGCTCTTCTTGGTGATGAGGGAAATCCTCTCATCATGGCTGCTAGACAGTCCCAAACACTCCGTGCCAGGGTGGGGGCTACTGCCAACCGGGAGAGGCCAGGGTGCCACCCTGCTCCTGCTCTTCCCTCAAGTTGGGCATTTTATTCTCTCATTCTGCTCAAGGTCTCATGAGCCAGAGCCCAGCCAGCTCCCCATCACGTGGCATCACGGGGACCTCCCTTCCCGTGGGAATGCTGGCAGAAGTGGAACCCGGCCGTGCCCAGCCAATGTAAGGGCTTTCCAGAAGATTCACTAAGGAGGGGTTAGAAAAAGAGAAGCCTTTGAAACAGTCACCTGCCCGGTCTATGCTATTAAAGGACGTAAGGAAAGGTACACAATTGGCAGTAAACAATTTCCTTCAGCTGTTCTTCGATGTCCAGGAAAACTAACCCCGGCACAAAATCAGACATGAACGATTTCTGTTCCAGTGTCTTCAGGTTCTGTCCAACAAGAAGAGTTTGTGTCAGAATGACAGATTCCATGTCCATCTTTATTTTCAAAGTTGGGTTCTGTTAGTGCAGATTTTTCGAAAATATTCTTTTTGCTTGTTTCTGGACAGTTCTGAACATAGATTACTCTGTTATAAGCCTTGAGTCTCTTCCATAATTGTACATACACTTTGCACTGAACATACATAAAAAGAAGTCCGCCGGTAAAGCCGATGGCCACAACCACCAGTTTAGTCCAAAAAGGCCACTCCAGGATTCCTGGAAGGGGAAAAACCCAGTTAGCCTATCAGCAGACCTAATTTAAGATCTGATGTAAACAAAACACAACTTCTGACCTTCCCACCCATAACCAATGGATTCTTCACTCATCAAATCTTGCTTCATCAAAGGTGGGATGGCAGAGAGTATCCATTCTCTTATCTTGCTGCTCTTCCAGGAGACAGTGTGTGGAGATTCTCCCTGATCTGACCTCCTCTAACTGGGTTTTTTAAAAAGTACTCACCACAGCAAGAGAAACACCCAAAAACAATGCTTGGTGCTTCATAATTGATGCCCCCGCTCCAGAAACCCAGACATTTGAAGTCTGACTTAAAAACCAATCTGGAATGACCCCCATGTGTTATCCAGGATCCCTATGCTGAGCTCATATTTCACGCTGCGCACATACCTGTTGCCTGTCCGTGTTTGATCTCCTCAGTGGTACGGTCGATGAGCACATACAAGGACCAGACCACACAGGTGATGGCGATGACATGGAATGTCACTGAGCACATGATCTTCCTGCGCTCACTGGCCGTCATCTGCAACTTCTCCCACTGGAAAGACAACATGCAGAGCATGAGGTACGGGACCCCAGACGTAAAGGACTACAGTGGGGGTGAGAGCACTGTAGGTGGGTAAGAGTGGCTTGCTCTCTCCTCCCCTTTTCCCAGACTTCACGAATTTTCCCAAATACCAAAGGTCATTCACCTTAAACCACTTGGCTTCAACCAGGTACCGGGCACTGGTATTCTGTCAACAGCCAACTTTTTATGCAATGAAAAGAAGCTGGGATCAAGATGAGCTATAGACCACGAGAAATCAATCCTCTTGTCTGCTTATTCTTGCAGGCAGACAGCCAATGGCTAGCTAAAGGACTCTATGGTTCCAGTCCTGATGAACCCAGCATGTTGGCCCCCGACCCAGGTGGCACACAGGAGACCTCCCTGCCTTGCTGACTGGCGTGGGCAAGGGGAAGAGGGCTGATGACGCCACAACACACTAGCAGATGGGTCACGCCATATCGTGAAGGTGATGGCAGAAGGCGCTCACTCTTTGGTCCTTTGCTACTTTGGCAGCAACAGCTTGAAATCGATGCTAAGAGTTCCTGGTACAAGTAGGCTCTGCCAGTCCCATCTCCTCTAGGAGCTCATTAATTGACTCCAAAGAGCCAGATTTTCTCTTTCATTTACTGCTTTCCGAATCAGAAGAAAACACATAAGGATAGAGAAAAAGAACAAACTGTAAACACTCTGCATATCCTTGGCCAGCCCTAGACACAGCCTCTCTCCAGATGGTTCTATGTAGGACACGCTGAAAGTAGAGCCTCGTGGATTACCTACATTGGTCAAAGTGCTACAAGTCTCATTTGAGGGACCAGCACAGAGTAGGTATTCAGTAAATTATACGGTCTTTATAGGGCAAAACATTTTTTAAGTAGTTTGCATTTGCCTCTCCAACACCCCAAGTGCTTTTTGCTATGGTTTTATATAGTATCTTCTTTTGGCTTTCCTCCTAAAATGCCCCCCTGCTCCCTGATTTCCTGCTATTTCTTTAAGTACACTCAGCCCAAGCCTTTCACACTGACCTGAAATGCTCACCCTCACCTTTTTGGTGTATGCTTTTCTACACAATCTGACCTCTCTAAACTCCCTTCACTTTACTCCAAATCCTACTGACCCTTCAAGAATGGCTTGAACACCCAAACATTCTGTGACACTACCACCACTCCAACTCCCCAAGGCTCCAGCCCACAGGCCAATGCTTCTAAATGTCTGATGTGTTCTGCCACCACTTAATCGAACATTCATTTGGCATTGTCATGTGTTGTAATGTGATTGTGTGATTCCCCTTGAATATACATACCAAAATTCTGAGATACGAACAAGTCTTATTCTACCAAACAAAACCTTATGTGCTGGGCATACAGACAAACATATTAAACCATTTACACAGGAAGCGCCTACCAGACGATGCTCCACTCAGAGAGAGCTGTGACATGGGGCCTGAAGAGAGGGGCGTTTCCCGTAAGGCCTGCAGTTCCTCTCTTTTCCCACCCACCCTCCCCCTACCAACTAGCAAATATTTATCACAGGTATCTAACAAATAAATGCACTATGTGCTTTGTGCAAGGGAAAGATACTAATGTCTAATAATATACAGTCTTAATCAGAGGCAAGACATGAACAGTTAATACATATAAAATTAAATGCTAAGACGTCACAAAACAGTCTGTGGTCCAAACGTGGGACCACAGGGTGACTGAGGGCCAAACGACTGACACAGACAAGCAAGCAGTCTTAGTCTGACTGAAAAACACGTTAGGACTGAAGGGTCATAAAGAACTTCTTCCTGAGAGGAGGGAGCAGGAAAGAAGACCCGGAAATGACGACACCTGCAGCATGAACACCTGCGCCAGCACCCACTTCTGACAGACAGGAGCGTAAGCAAGCTACGGCTTCATCCCGGCCAAGGGGCTAACTCTGCCAGGGGCCCCTCATTTCAAAGAGGTGAGAGCACTTCCAAAGGTGTCCTTCCACGTACTTTTCGCAAAGGCTTCAGCTTGACCTCCATGATGAACTCGTACTTGCAGAGCTCACAGCAGCGCGTGTCGGAGCTCTTGATCCACTGCTGCAGGCAGGTCTGGTGCACGAAGTGCAGGCTCCCGGTGCAGCGGCAGGGGGTGATCAGAGGGCTCTCATCATCCCCTTCACAGTGGCAGATCCTGAGGGGAGAGCAAAGCCAGTCATTACCAGGAGGGCCACATACCAGGGGAGAGGACACTTCAGGGGAGGGTCAATCCCCCCAGTGAAAACTTTCAACAACAAACATCACAGAAAGGACCACAAGCACAAAAACACACAAACACGGATGTGAACAATGACTACAAACTAAAAACTTCTAGCTTACCGCACCAACATGGAAAGTCTGGATGGCATTTTGCATCAGAGAGGAAAAAATGATATAAGAAATGACAAAGCAGTCATTTTTGGTAAGATTTAAGAACTTCACTGAAAGCCAAATTTAAGGCAACATGGAAGCCTCTTTCACAACATGTTAAAATAATTAGAGGAAAATTTCTGTGTAAAACAAAACTAGCACTCTACTTTCCAAAAATACCAGTGACTTAAAAAGATGATGAACTTGATTTTTAGCCATAATCACTGACTTCACCTTCACACACCATACTACACATCTCCGTCCTCCCTCAGACAGTACACAAAGAAAACACAGGACCTCTCCTGGACCTAAAAACCCCATTAGAAGGTGCCGCCATTTGTTTCTTTTTTGAGGAAGCAAGAATTTTAAATCATTCACGATTTCTAAGGGTGCATGCAAGAGGATGTAGCTACTAACCTCAAGGAACTTAACAGACTTTTGAGAAACAGAAGGGTCCGATCCAGCAGCTGGAGAACAGGCAGGGACACCTGGCCTGACAGGAGCTGGGCCCTGGCCCTGGCCAGGCTCACAGCTCTTTGTTTCTGTGAGAGGGGTTTCTGATCCAACCGTTAGAAATGGTAACAGCTGGCCCGGAAGGGGCACCCAGGGAAAGGCTGGAATAGGGAAAGCTTGAGTGTGGTGACAAAAAGTGGATTCTGAAAGATTCTGGAAGCCAGACAAGGATGCTGCACACGGGAAGACAAAGGTGGGAAGTGGAGTCAGGACCTGGGCAGAGGTGGCCACATCTGAGTTAAAAAGAAGGAAGGAAGGTGCTGTGGGAGGCCGGCTTCTTCCCATGTACACTGTGTTGTAACTGGAACAAAGGGTAAAAATGAAGCCGGAAGGGGCAGCCAATGCTTAACATCTAGATCCTCAAGCTGGAAAACTGGAGATACTATTTTCTTTCTTCCAATTTCCTTAAGCAAACTCTACTTATTTTTGGTTGAGAAGAGTCAGCTTGGCCTTTAATATGTGTAGCATCTTCCTCTTTAATCATCTGTGAAACTATTTGGGACCCATTCTCATAAAAACTGGTTTGTCGAATGATATCAATACTCCATTGTTCTGGAGAAAACCATTAACCCACAATTGACTACCAACCCCCCATTACTTCATTTTCCTGAAACTTCACATATTAAAAGCAAGATGAGGCCACCGAGGTCTGGGGAGCAGAGCTGGCCAGAATGGTGGTTCTTGGCAAACCAACCTGCAGGCATCCCCTGACGTGGACACAGGAGAGATCGGGGGGCATTTTTCAGAGGGGGGAGAAGGACAATCCAGGTCACTGTCCTTCTCCACTGAGCAGAGGGGCGCCCGCAGGACCTTGCTTTTCCACTTTGCAGATGTGCTGTCCTCAAAGACATCGTCGTCTCCCATCTCATCCGAGCAGAAGCCCGTGCTCCCTGCCAGCCCGCTGGAGGACTTGGCGGTGTGCAGACGGGCGGCACGGTTCTCCAGCTCATGGAACCTGTGCAGGCTGTGGGTGCTCAAGCCATGCGAGAGCGAGAACAGGTACCGGAGCAGTCGCCGGCTCTGGGACACGGCTTCGCCATCTGCTTTCTCCTCCAAAAGAGGGACATGCATGCCCCCCTTGCCAGCTTCCACCTCTGAGGCAGTTGACCGATTGACAGAAAGGGAGGAAACACAAGAATGTTTGGAATTGCCAAGAGGTTTGCGATGCAGTGCTCTTTTTTCCTTCTGGTGGAACCTGTTAATTCTCAGACCCGGATCTGGAGGGAGTATCAGTTTCCCTTCGGAGCAAGTTCTTTCCACATAGTCAAAACTTTCCACAGTATCCTGGGCCCTCTCGCCCACATCGTTTAAGGATTTTGAGAACTTTAGTGTTCTTCTGGCTTTAGTATTGTCAACAGGCTTCAAGGCCTGGGCCCATTCTGAACCACAGGAATTTCTCTTGGACAATGTGTCTTTACAGATAACTGTCACAGTGAGCCCTTGTGTCAGAGAACTCTGGCAGGGAGGAGCTTTCAAGACAACGGCAGACTGCACGGGACTTTGGTGACAACACTCAGAACACACTGCACTGGAACTGCATGCAGAGAACAGTGGAATAAAAGCACAGGAAGTAAAAACAATCTTAAAAGAGAATAGACATCCAAGTGAAGAAATGAGACTCGTGTGGTAACTTGGTGAGCAAACAGCACATAAACTGGAGCCAGCTGTTTACAGCAAAGGCATACTGACCGAGCAAATGGAAAACTGAGAACCTGCAGACACTAATGCTTATTTCCGGGATGTCACATGAACCCCTACAGCATCTGAAGCAGAGCGTTACCTGCAGATGTCCTGATTGGACGGTGTGACAGAAGAGCGAGGGAAGGCGGACACCGGAGCCGACGCCAACGAAGAACCCCCAGCCTGCAATGACACACCTCCAGTCAGTTACAGAGGAAAGACCAAAGGGGACGGTGACACCATCTCCTTCCAAATGGCAATGGAAAGAGAATCTAAGAACACCTGCTATTTCCTACTGCTCGCTGAATAATACATATTTAAGGTCCTGATGAGCTGAGGCAAAACAAATCAAACAGCACTCTTTCCTTCTATGGGGGTAAAAGTGTAGCCAAGAACTATTTGAGACTCTACAGCAGCAATACCAATCTCCCGCAGACTCAGTGATCCTTTATTTCCTGAGCATCTAAATTTAATTAGTTCATACATAGTCAAGAAATCAAGTACTAGATGGGGGGGCGGGAGGGGGAGTGCCTGGCTCAGCCAGTACAGCATGCAACTCTTAATCTCAGGGTCATAAACTCAAGCCCCACATTGGGAGCCTACAGAAGGGGAGGGGTGGGAGGGGAGAGGAGAAGAGAAGAGAAAAGAACCAGATGGTATATGCAAATGCAAAAGAAAGGTGAGGGGCCTTCCCTGCCAGTGCTTACCTTCCCACCTGGCACTCTTTAAGCTGGTTCCAGGGGTAATCCTAATCAGGATGGCTGGATGTGAGTGCTCTCTCCTACCCACCCTACACTGGGTCCAGGACACCTTGCTACCCTGCCGCCAGAACTCTTTACACAAAAGGGAGACTAGGTGACCACAGGGCCGCCAATCCATAGCTCAACCTGGGGCCCAGGAGGGGGCTGAGCACAGAAGGTTCTCAAGAGTTCTAATCATGGGATTGTGATTTAAGAAAAAGAATCAAGATGTAGTGAAAAGAAGGGCCATATGCACCCCAATGTTCATAGCAGCAATGTCCACAACAGCCAAACTGTGGAAAGAGCCAAGATGCCCTTCAACAGATGAATGGATAAAGAAGATGTGGTCCATATGTACAATGGAATATTACTCAGCCATCAGAAAGGATGAATACCCAACTTTTACATCAACATGGATGGGACTGGAGGAGATTATGCTAAGTGAAGTAAGTCAAGCAGAGAAAGTCAATTATCATATGGTTTCACTTATTTGTGGAACATAAGGAATTGCATAGAGGACATTAGGAGAATGAAGGGGGAGAAATAGGAGGGAGAGATGAACCATGAGCGACTATGGACTCTGAGAAACAAACTGAGGGTTTTAGAGGGGAGGGGGGTGGGGGGATGGGTTAGCCTGGTGATGGGTATTAAGGAGGGCACGTACTGCATGGAGCACTGGGTGTTATACGAAAACAATGGATCGTGGATCACCACATCAAAAACTAATGATGTATTGTATGGTGACTAACATAACATAATAAAATAAAATTTGAAAAAAAGAAAATTTAAATTTGACAGAATGTGTAGCAAAAGGTCTTGACACAGATCAGAGGCTCTGAGGGCTTATAAACAAGCCAAGACGAGAAAAGAGCTCTAGGAGGGTGAAGGAGCGCCACAGTGGAGAGAAGTGGAAGGAGAGACAGGAAGAGTGCACCTCAGCCTCCCAGGGTCCCCCAGCCTCCCAGTCCAACCTCTCTGCGATCGTGGCTAAGCCTTCTCTAGACTCAAGATTCCTGAGTTCCCATGGTCCTCAGAGCACTCCGCATATTCATATAAATGCATTCTTCCCTCCTAAGACAGCTTGAGTGAGCATCTGCCCCACACACCTAAACAGCCACATGAAAACAGTACCATGAGTCTTATCAAGAGCAAGCCCACATTACCTCCCTACCTTCCCCAGGCCCCTCCCAAGTGGCCTTCAGCCCTGCTCCTTAATTCGAGGGAGCCCCACAATTCCCTGGCTGAGGTTTAGACCCCACTCTTGCTAAGCCCCATCCCCAGGGGCTGGGTCTCATCCTGGCACTGAAGCTACGGGACCCCTGCCATGGGCCAGTCACCAAGACCGGCAGCACCACTGTCCAGAAGCTCTCCCCATCTGCCCTCCCCAGCAAATGCACCAACCTGGAGAGAGCCAGGCCTGGCAGTCAGATTGAGGGCTTCAGTGGTCCCAACTCTCCAGCAGGAGAACTAAACATCACTTTAAAACCCAGCTCAACCTGAAACCTGGTCCAAGAAGTTACATGATATCACATTGCATGTGTGTGCTAAAATCCTGCAGTAGTACTCAACTAGCACATCTGCTGAGCCACCAAAGAACCCACATGTTCAACTGAATGTGGAAAATATTCGGTATCCTGAGAGGAGGCAGGCCTCAGACAGGAAGCTGAAATCAAAAGAAAATGGCTTCTCACTCCCGTCCTGAATTCAAGTGACCCATGTCAAAAAGGGAAGTCTGGGGTAGTTATCACATCATCACACGCCCAAAACAGGGGAGTGCTGGGAGGCAGGAGGGAAGAGCCTCAGGGCAGAGCAAGGCCTGCACCAAGGAAGCAGCCAGACAGTCCACACTCACAACAGGACCTGGGATCACTTCCCCATGAATTTGGTGTCTCAGGTGCACTCCTGGGAACTCATACAATCATGTGTGTACCTGCAGCAAAGCATCATGCCTGTGAGTCGGTGGCAGTGGTCCCAAGTCCCTGATCTGCTTATTTAGGGGAAAAAGGAATAGTCTCAACATCCTGTGTCCCTGTCCTCATTTCATCCTTTCCAATCCCACAAAAAATCACGAGACACTTTCAGCAGGTAATGTCCAAGCCTCAACAAGCCTCCCAATTACAGAGAAAAAACTTCTCTTATTAGATCATGAAGTTTCAAGGAAATTTTTTAAAATCTACTTTCTGTTGTTTTATATAATACAAACCAACAAGGGCGCCTGGGTGGCTCAGTCGTTAAGCGTCTGCCTTCAGCTCAGGTCATGATCCCAGGGTCCTGGGACTGAGTCCCACAGTTGGGCTCCTCTGCTTCTCCTTCTATGCCTCCCCCCTGCTCATGATCTCTCTCTCTCTCAAATAAATAAATAAAATCTTTATAAATACACCCATACATACAAACCAACAAATTCCTTATCCTGGCTGACTCCTCCAGTAAGAATGAGAAAACAAGCAAGATTTGTGGGGCCATCACAGATCTCATAAGAGGCACCTGCCTGCTTCCAGCTAAAGAAGGTGAAGTTCAGGACAAGTCCACATGTAAAATGATCACCAAAGCATAGCATCAACAATTTTAAAAAGCTTAACTTGTTGCTGGTATCAAGCTGAGTAAAATCTATCAAACCTACCAATGAGGATTTAAAAGACTGGACGGATCATCAACAGCAAGGACAAAATGAAGCCTACAAATACAGTTCAAATACAGTGCCAGAGTCCAGCTGGGGATGTCAAGTTAAGTCAGGGGCCAGCAGTGCCCCCTCAGAGGCATGGAGCACTGGACAGCTCTCCCGCTCAGCCCGAGGGCAGAGGGCAGGTGGCACCAGGGAGGCTACGGGCCAGCACTACTCGCCTTAAGGGAAAAGGAGAGCACCCTCTCTCCTCCACAAGATCAGACCACACAGGACTCTGCTGTAAAAGTACGTGTAAATGTTCATAACGAGAACATTCCCATGTGTCAAGAAAACTAAAGCCCTGTGTTCCTGAAGCTCTCTGTTGGTTCTCAAACAAAAGACGTTCTGGTCATGTAAAGGAATGTAAAGCAATCTCACTACAAAAAAATTTTCGTAAAAAATCCCCTCCTCTTAAGATGTTGTAATCAATTATGCAAACAAACCTCCAGATTCCATCTAGGCCTAAATTCCAGTTGAGTTTATTTCTTAGGAATGACAATTTTAGACAATTTGTCAGTACTCAAGTCACTAGTGGTTGTCTTTCCTACCAGACTCCACTGAGGGTTTACAGCAGAGAAGGAGGGAAGGGATGGTAGAGAGGGAGGCTGGGAAGTAACCTATTGGAAGGAGCAGGGGGAGGAAGTGAACCGAGAGGAGAGCCAGGGAAGGTCCGGCTGGTGTCCTGCAGTGAGAAAGTCCCTCTGAGTGAAACTGGTAAGTTACAAAATTACTTTGTCAAGGCTGCCAAAAACAACCAAAGGAAAACCTCCAATATAGCCTTGGTAGAAGCTGGCATTTCCTTTTGCAGGAACCTACTGCCCTTGAAAGGGCTATTTGTAACAGACTCATCAAGTACATTTCTCCGTCCATGCCAGGAACTTACCAATTTCACTCAGGGACTTTCTCACTGCAGGACACCAGCCGGACCTTCCCCGGCTCTCCTCTCGCTTCACTTCCTCCCCCTGCTCCTTCCAATAGGTTACTTCCCAGCCTCCCTCTCTACCACCCCTTCCCTCCTTCTCTGCTGTAAACCCTCAGTGGATCTTCTTTTCACTTACTGGCAAAGCTACTTTTAAACATCTGGGGCTCAGGGCCCTAACAAAAGTGAATTCACCCATCTGATTTACATCAACAGGTATAGGGCCACAAGAAATGGTCTGGTTGGGTTCAGTTGCTTTTAAGCCAGAAGCAATGTGAAGAAGGACTGGATAAGGAAGGTAAGAGACAAGTTGGGCTCCTGTTTACAAGTGACCTCAAACTTAATAGAAAAAAAAGGGGAAACGAAGTACAGATGGCTCTTAAAACATAAAAAGATACTGAGGCGCCTGGGTGGCTCAGTCGTTAAGCGTCTGCCTTCGGCTCAGGTCATGATCCCAGGGTCCTGGGATTGAGCCCCGCATCGGGCTCCCTGCTCGGCAGGAAGCCTGCTTCTCCCTCTCCCACTCCCCCTGCTTGTGTTCCCTCTCTCTCACTGTGTCTCCCTCTATCCTTAAAGATAAATAAAATCTTAAAAAAAAAAAAAACATAAAAGATGCTTAACCTCTCTTACAATGAGAAATACAAATAAAAATTACAATGAGATATACCATCAGCAACAACAAAAAAGTCTGTTTTGTTTTGTTTTAAATCACCTAATACCTGTGTTGACAAACGTGTGGGAAAACAGCCATGCTTATACACTGCTGGTGGGAAAGCAAATTGCTTAACTCCAGAAGAGGGCAATTTGGCAATTACTCTCTAAATTACAAATGCACATTCACTTTGTCCCAGCAATTCTTCTT